AATAACAAATTCCTGTTATCACCCCGGCTTTATTTGTTATCACCCCATGGAAATAACAAATAAGAAAAAAAAAGAAAAAAAAATTTTATGATAAAAATTATAATTAATAATACGTAAATCCCTGTCATGTGATCATAATGAGATGTGGAATAATTATCCTTAAAAGCTTCTATATTGTACATACTTGACAGTTTCATCTCATCACAGGTTTCAATTTTTATATGTACAAAAAAATATTATAGAAATTAAAAATTTTGATCTTAAAGTTGGAGATATATCACGTGTCTAATTTTGGACTCGATTTTATGTCTAAATTTTTTGAACTTCTCACTATTAGAACTTTACTAAATCATTTCCATTAAAACTTTACTAAATATTTATTCTAAGAAAAAAAGAGACTTTGCAGTTTATTTTAATACAAAAAATAATACAAAGAAGAACTAGACCAGAAACTCCATCTCATATTCGCAACAATATATGATATAAAATGCCTGAACTTGAGGAAACTCCTGAAGACTGAAGAAGAAAAAAATCCTAAAAGTTTAATGTTGTTAAGAATTACTATAATGGTTTAAAAAACTCAAAATAACCCTATTGAAGGTTTGTTAGACTTGATTTTTGCTTTTATTAAGTTTAGGTAATAGAGTAAATAGCACAGAGAATTTTTTGGCATGCCTTAAAGAGCATACTTTGGCCCAAAGCATGACTTTGATTATGTTTTAGACATGCTTCTATATAATGTTAGCATCTACTTAAATAATTATTACGTGATTGAATTTTGTAGCTAATTCTTCACTCTTACTCTTTATAATTATATGACAAGAACTTTTTTTGCCTCAAAGATTATGCTCATGCATGCCTGAAAAAATACCGATATGGCATGCTAAAAATTCTGTACTATCTACTCTATTAACAATTTATTAGCTCAAAAATTATTAGTTTTATTGATACTATATATTAATTATATATAATTTCATGTGATTACGATATATGAAATCATCATGAAGTTCATTTACCAGAATCTGTACACTTATCTATTCAAACCCAAAGACACTCCAGGACTAATCATAATCTTGCTTAAAGTACAATTGATAATTTCAAGCCAACAGTTATACGTAAGAAATATGTAGTTCATGGCAAACATATACTCTCTCGAATGTCAATTTTCTGTAAGCATTATTGGGCTTTGCATTAGCCAATAAAGTCTTCAACTAACTGCTGTTATAATGGGAAAGTTGTTTTAGCCCCACTAGGCAATACACCTGAGTCAATTATAAAGCTACTTATACAAGTTTCTCTTACAATAGAAGAACCTTATTTGAAGCAAATTCATTCATTCAATTCTGTTTTTTCTTTCACATCAATTGGAGCATTAATTGATCCAGAACTTGCAAATGGAGCCCATGCATGTATACTTATCATCTTTAGAGAGCACTTTATCACCAAATTGGTTCATTGCTTCCTCCTGATGAAAATCACATACCAAAGTTCTCACAAATATATATATATAATAGAAGCTTTGATATCGAATTGAGGCACCATTACACTGTGTTTCCTTTTTTAGATTATGATATTTTGGCAGACATCTAGCAAGACCTCTATATGTATAATCCTTTTGTTCAAGTTTTTCGAAGTGCTAGCCAATTTATTTGTGAAGGTCATCTAATTATATTAAGATTCTTGAGTGGCCAAGGTTTTGATATAAGGTGTTATAACCGACCTACTGCAGACAAAATAGCAGTTTTATTAATTGATAGCAATACTGACAGTAGTTATAACATTCTTCTCCACACTACTTAGAGCCAATTACAATAAATATCAGAATGTCATGCTGTATACAACCCACTTTAATATCCATTATTATTTCCATATAGCCAGCTTGGTTGGCATCCCGGTATTCTTTATTCGACAAGTTCTAGCTATAATTACACAGAAAACCACCATAATCCTGTAAGTAACATCCTTGAAAATAAAATTAATCTTACAAGTAGAAACTTAGATGACAAATTGAATTAGACTCAACAGAGAAGTCAGAGAAGTCATATTACAATACAGAACTATGCTGCATACCATTTATATGTATGTAGTCCTATTGATAGCATATTATATTATACTGGGCATTTTTTTTATCAATACATCATTGACCAATATAATATGCCAAGATTGAACAAAATCAGCTTCTCTGGCAAAGAATGAACCAACAAACAATTCGTGCTGAGCTTTATCAAGGACTGCTGATGCATTGGCAAATGACCTTCAAAATCTCAGTAATATAAAGAGGTGAATTATTTTACCTGCATCTTTTACTGGCAGCTCTTGGTATATGAGTCAATGTTATCAAGATATAATGGCTATTGTGAAAAAATTTGGAAAGCTGAGTCTATTTATTACAGTTACGTGCAACCCACATTGGCCAAAGATTCTTGCTAAATCTATAATAATCAGATACTAAACGATCGGCCTGACATTATTGCTTGTATTTTCTACCTCAAGTTAAAAGCTATTTTAACTGACCTTATTAAGAATAATATATTAAAAAAAGTTGTAGTGTTCATGTTAGTTATAGAATTTCAGAAGAGGAGTCTTCCTTATACATATATACTAATTATACTTGCCAAAGAAGATAAACTACAAACACCTTTCAATTATAATAATATTGTGTTCTCTAAAATTCCAGACCTAATTTCTTAGCCACAACTTTATGAAACCATCACCTGGTGTATGATATATGGGCCTTGTAGTAGTCTGGCACCAAGTGCTTCATGCATGTAGAATAAAATTTGTTTAAAAAAATATCCTAAGTGTTTTTCTAATGTTACTCAGACTGATAGAAATAGATATCCATTATATAGATGACAGGACAATATACACACTATTCAATTGAAAGGTTGTATACTAGATAACAGGTATTTTAGTAAATTTATCTCTTTTTCTAGAGTATAGAGCATAGCTTTAGCTTAAAGGCATGCCTGTGGAATTTTTGATGGGTTTTATATATGCAAATTTTTTAGTTAAAAGCATGTACTAGACATGCCCTGTAGGCATGCCCAAAGCCTCTATGCTCTGTTCTCTATATTTTTAAATAAGAATAGATATTAATTAACATTAAATCAAAATAAGTGGGTAGTACTATACAATCCATATCTATGCCAAAAGTATGACTATCATATTAATGTAGAAATTTGTTCTACTATAACATCAGTTAAGTACTTATACAAATATGTATATAAAGGGCATGATCAGGTATTAGTCATTATTCATAATGGCAATGCTGAGAATGTGACTCATGATGAAATCAAAACATATCTAGATGCTCGATACGTTTTGGCCTCAGAAGCATGCTGGTGAATTTTCTCTTACGACTTACAAACAAGATCACATCATGTAGAAAGGTTACAAGTGCATCTACCAAATCAACATTTTGTTCTTTTTAATACACACTCAACCCTAAATAATGTTGTATCTATAGCTATACACTCAAAGCTCACAAAGTTTTTTGAGGTTTGTAGAGGAGATTCAACAGCTACAAATCTTTTATACTCAGAATTTTCCAAGTTCTTTTGCTGAGTAAAAGAAGCCTGGATACGTCAAAAAAGAAGTAGAAGTAAAGTGATTTAGACTTTATTCTTGCTCTTCAACTGACTCAGAACACTTTTGCTTGCATCTTTTATTATGTCACATCTGTGGCCCTATATAATTTGAAAGTCTGCGCACAGTTAATGGTATAACGTATTCAACGTTTAAACAAGCAGTGCAGCAATTAGGTCTTTTGAAAAGTGATGAAGAATGGCATAATTGTTTATATGAAGCAAGTCTATTTCGGATGCCTTCACAACTACGCCTCTTATTCACGACAATATTAATTTATTGCCAACTATTAGATATTAAAAGTCTTTGAGATATCTACTTGCCTGACTTAACAGAAGATTTTATATACCAAGCATGGCAGCATGGTGAAAATACCGTATCAGAGGATCCATTAATTGTAAGTTATACTTTGGCTAAAATTGAAGATTACCTTAGACAGTATGGAAAGTACCTTACGGACTTTTCTGAGTTACCTACTATACAGTATGATTTACTTAGCATTAATAGGCAAACACAGCTTTTTGCAGAAGAATTGTCCTTTTCACGGGATGAGTTATAGAGAATTCTCAAGGGAGTTTCTCTGTTAAATAATGAACAATATGCAGTGTATAATGCTATAATAGAAGTTGCAAAACAATCTAATCCTGAACACACTATTTTTTTTGTTGATGGCCCTAGTGGCACTGGCAAAACTTTTTTATATACTATTATTTTAGCTTACTTTTGTATTAGAAATTATATTGCACTAGCACTTGCTTCATTAGAAATTGTATCACTGTTGCTTATAGGTAGTCAAATTGCACATTTCCATTTAAAGATTCCTTTGCAACTAGATAAAACCTTAACATGCAATTTATCAAAACAATTTGACCACGCCTGTCTTTTACTAGAGTCAAAATTGATAGTTTGGGACAAAGCTCCCATAGCTCATAAGTTTGCTTTCGAGGCTGTTGATAGGTTGTTGTATGACAATACTAGTATTGACAAACCTTTTGGCAGAAAACTTATAGTGCTTGGAGGTGATTTTTGCCAAATATTGCTGGTTATTCTTTGTGGATCACAGCAGCAAATTGTTAATGCAAGTCTCAAACGTTTATATCTTTGGAATTTAATTCTGTCAATGCCACTTATAAAAAACATGCACTTTTAGCAGATGCATAGGCCTGAAGCTGCTGAAAATCGTGAATTTGCCAATTATCTTATCTGAATTAGGGAGGGCAAGAAAACTACTTACCCTAACATTGGTCAAAACTATATTCATTTACCTGATGATATGATGCTTTACAGAAATTTACAGGCACTAATAACTCACATCTATGGTAACTTTAGAACTAGACAAAATAATCATAAATATATATTAGAATGCACAATTCTCACAACTAAAAACCAGGGTGTTGATGAAATAAATAATCTGATTTTGTCCAACTTTTCCAGTAAAGCAAAAACATACTGTTAAGCTGATTCTGTTGTCAATCCTAAAGGTTTTAACAGTAAACTCTATCTTTCTAAATTCCTTAATACACTTTCTTCCAATAGTGTACCACCTCACAAGTTAGTACTCAAAAAAGGTGTACCAGTAATATTACTTTGCAACTTAAATGCAAAAAAAGATCTATGCAACAGAACATACCTGATTATTTGTGCTTTTCAATAGCACTTCCTTGATGCAGAGATCATAACTGGCTTCTGCACTAGACAACATGTTTTTATTCCACACATAATTCTTGAACCATCTGATATAGAACTCCCATTCAAGTTGTGACAATGTCAATTTCCGGTTAAGTTAGCCTTTGCACTAACAATCAACAAGGCACAGGGACAAACAATTTCAAAGCTTGGACTTTATCTTGCAGATCCTGTGTTTATTTATAGTCAGCTGTATATTGCTCTTTTATGAGTTTGTTCCTATCGAGATATTAAAATTGTTGCAGAAGGTAATCAAATAGCAAACCAAGAGAGTTATTACACAGCTAATATAGTTTTTCATGAGATTTTTGATTAGATTTGATCATATTACAATTACAATCGATCGACTATTGGACAATTAATTAGCTAAGCCTGTTTGGTGTGACTATATACAGTATATATGCTTATCTAATACTGTCAAATATGAAATTAGAGTTAGCATTTGTATTAAGATCATTTTGTCAGTACAATGTATAGTGAAACCTCTCTAATTGCAACTTCTATAAGTGTATACTCTTTCTAAATACACAATCAAATTTTAATCTATTTTGATCCAAATATATACATGACCTTTATAAATACACTTTTTTTTATTGTTATCTAAGTGCATACCAGTCCTGAGTGCATACACTTAGAGAGGTTTTACTGTATAGCAAAATTGCTCAAAAAAATATTTTTGTTAGAGCATCAAAGAAATGAATTTTTCTATATTATATCTAATCTTGAAGCTGTGCCACAAACCTGACATACCTATAGGTACCAAATATGACATATATATTAGATATAATTTATAGGTAAAGTATATAATAAATATAAATGATTTAGACATACTGCACTAAAAATATTATTAAGCAGTTCGCATTGTATGATTTTAACCAGAAATCAAAAAATGTATAAAATAATCAATAAATTATGTATATTGGAATGTCATTTTTCTAACCATTTTATATATAATTTATAATTTTGTTAATTTTTTTTTTTTGGTATTAAGGTAACCTCTTTGGTCTGGGAACTTTTTATTAGAGTATAGACGAAGTTTTATATGTAATT